ACCCCTGTATAATAGTGTGTGCTCAACAAGCCCTATATAAGAGTGTGTGCTTAACAAGCCCTATGTAATAGTTTGTGCTCCAGAAGCCCTATATAATAGTGTGTACTCAGAGAACCCCTCTATAATAGTGTGTGCACAACAAGCCCTATATAATAGTGTGTGCTCAACTAACCCTATAATAGTGTGCACTCAACAAGCATTATATAATAGTGTGTGCGCAACAAGTCCTATATAATAGAGTGTGCTCAACAAGCCCTATATAATAGTGTGTGCCCAACAAGCCCTATATAATAGTGTGTGCTCAACTAACCCTATATAATACTGTGCGCTCAACAAGCCTTATATAATAGTGTGTGCGCAACAAGTCCGATATAATAGTGTGTGCGCAACAAGTCCGATATAATAGTGTGTGCTCAACAAGTCCTATATAATACTGTGTGCTGAACAAACCCTATATAATAGTGTGTGCGCAACAAGTCCTATATAATAGAGTGTGCTCAACAAGCCCTATATAATAGTGTGTGCCCAACAAGCCCTATTATATATAATAGTGTGTGCTCTAAGAACCCTTGTGTAATAGTGTGTTTTCAACAAGCCCTATATAATAGTGTGTGCTCAGAGAACCCCTGTGTAATAGTGTGTTTTCAACAAGCCCTATATAATAGAGTGTGCTCAGAGAACCCCTATATAATAGTTTGTGCTGAACAAGCCCTATGTAATAATGTGTGCTCAGAGAACCGCTCTGCAATAGTGTGGGCTCAGAGAACCCCTATATAATAGTGTGTGCTCAACAAGATCTATAAAATAGTGTGTGCTCAGAGAACCCCTGTATAATAGTGTGCTCAACAAGCCCTATATGACAGTGTGTGCTCAAAAGCCCTACATAATAGTGTGTGCTGAACGAGCTCCATGTAATAGTGTCTAATCAACAAGCCCTATATAATAGTGTGTGCTGAACGAGCCCTACATAATAGTGTGTGCTCAACAGACCCTTTATAATAGTGTGTGCTCAACAAGCACTATATATTAGTGTGTGCTCAACAAGCCCTATAAAATAGTTTGTGCTCAACAAGCCCAATAAAATAGTTTGTGCTCAACAAGCTCTATATAATAGTGTGTGCTCAACAAGCCCTATATAATAGTGTATGCCGAGAGAACCCCTGTGTAATAGTGTGTGTTCAACAAACCCAATATAATAGTGTGTGTTGACCAAGCCCTATATAATAATGTGTGCTCAGAGAACCCCTCTTTAATAGTGTGTGCTCAGAGAATCCCCTCTATAATAGTGTGTGCTAAACAAGCCAAATATAATAGTGTGTGTCAGAGAATACCTCTATAATAGTCTGTGCTCAACAAGCCCCATATAATAGTGTGTGTGCTCAGAGAACCCCTGTATAATAGTGTGTGCTCAACAAGCCCTATATAAGAGTGTGTGCTTAACAAGCCCTATGTAATAGTTTGTGCTCCAGAAGCCCTATATAATAGTGTGTACTCAGAGAACCCTCTATAATAGTGTGTGCACAACAAGCCCTATATAATAGTGTGTGCTCAACTAACCCTATAATAGTGTGCACTCAACAAGCATTATATAATAGTGTGTGCTAACAAGTCCTATATAATAGAGTGTGCTCAACAAGCCCTATATAATAGTGTGTGCCCAACAAGCCCTATATAATAGTGTGTGCTCAACTAACCCTATATAATACTGTGCGCTCAACAAGCCTTATATAATAGTGTGTGCGCAACAAGTCCGATATAATAGTGTGTGCGCAACAAGTCCGATATAATAGTGTGTGCTCAACAAGTCCTATATAATACTGTGTGCTGAACAAACCCTATATAATAGTGTGTGCGCAACAAGTCCTATATAATAGAGTGTGCTCAACAAGCCCTATATAATAGTGTGTGCCCAACAAGCCCTATTATATATAATAGTGTGTGCTCTAAGAACCCTTGTGTAATAGTGTGTTTTCAACAAGCCCTATATAATAGTGTGTGCTCAGAGAACCCCTATATAATAGTGTGTGCTGAACAAGCCCTATATAATAATGTGTGCTCAGAGAACCCCTCTAAAATAGTGTGTGCTCAGAGAACCCCTATATAATAGTGTGTGCTCAACAAGCCAAATATAATAGTGTGTGTTCAGAGAACCCCTCTATAATAGCGTGTGCTCAACAAGCCCTATATAATAGTGTGTGCTCAGAGAACCCCTGTATAATAGAGTGTGTGCTCAACAAGCTCTATATAATACTGTGTGCTCTGAGAACCCCTATATAACAGGATGTGCTCAACAACCCCTTTATAATAGTGTGTGCTCAACGAGCCCTACATAACAGTGTGTGCTCAACGAGCCCTACATAATAGTGTGTGCTCAACAAGCCCTATATAATAGTGTGTGCTAAACAAACCCTATATAATACTGTGTGCTCAACAAGCCCTATATAATAGTTTGTGCTCAGCAAACCCTCTATAATATTGTGTTCTCAACAAGCCCTATATAATAATGTGTGGTCAGAGAACCCCTGCATAATAGACAGTGCTCAACAAGCCCCATATAATAGTGTGTGCTCAGAGAACCCCTATGTAATAGTGTGTCCTCAACAAGTCCAATATTATAGTGGGTGCTCAAGAAGCCCTATATCATAGTGTGTGCTCAACAAGGCCTGTATAATAGTGTATGCTCAACAAGCCCCATATAATAGTGTGTGCTTAACAAGCCCTATATAATAGTGTGTGCTCAACAAGTTCTATACAATAGGTTGTGCTCAACAAGGCCTGTATGATAGTGTATCCTCAACAAGCCCCATATAATAGTGTGTGCTTAACAAGCCCTATATAATAGTGTGTGCTCAACAAACCCTATATAGTAGTGTGTGCTCCAGAATCCCTATATAATAGTGTGTAGGTAGAGAACCCCTGTATAATAGTGTGTGCTCAACATACCCTATGTAATAGTGTGTGCTGAGACAACCCGTGTATAATAGTGTGTACTCAACAAGCCCTATATATTAGTGTGTGCTGGGAGAACCCCTGTATAATAGTCTGTGCTGAAAGAACCCCTGTATAGTAGTGTGTGCTCAACAAGCCCTATATAATAGTGTGTGCCAAGAGAACCCATCTATAATAGTGTGTGTTCTAAGAACCCCTGTGTAATAGTGTGTTTTCAACAAGCCCTATATAATAGAGTGTGCTCAGAGAACCCCTATATAATAGTTTGTGCTGAACAAGCCCTATGTAATAATGTGTGCTCAGAGAACCGCTCTGCAATAGTGTGGGCTCAGAGAACCCCTATATAATAGTGTGTGCTCAACAAGATCTATAAAATAGTGTGTGCTCAGAGAACCCCTGTATAATAGTGTGCTCAACAAGCCCTATATGACAGTGTGTGCTCAAAAGCCCTACATAATAGTGTGTGCTGAACGAGCTCCATGTAATAGTGTCTAATCAACAAGCCCTATATAATAGTGTGTGCTGAACGAGCCCTACATAATAGTGTGTGCTCAACAGACCCTTTATAATAGTGTGTGCTCAACAAGCACTATATATTAGTGTGTGCTCAACAAGCCCTATAAAATAGTTTGTGCTCAACAAGCCCAATAAAATAGTTTGTGCTCAACAAGCTCTATATAATAGTGCCTTAGTGTGTGCTCAACAAGCCCTATATAATAGTGTATGCCGAGAGAACCCCTGTGTAATAGTGTGTGTTCAACAAACCCAATATAATAGTGTGTGTTGACCAAGCCCTATATAATAATGTGTGCTCAGAGAACCCCTCTTTAATAGTGTGTGCTCAGAGAATCCCTCTATAATAGTGTGTGCTAAACAAGCCAAATATAATAGTGTGTGTCAGAGAATACCTCTATAATAGTCTGTGCTCAACAAGCCCCATATAATAGTATGTGCTCAGAGAACCCCTGTATAATAGTGTGTGCTCAACAAGCCCTATATAATAGTGTGTGTTAACAAGCCCTATATAATAGTGTGTGCTCAAGAAACCCTATATAAAAGTGTGTTCTCAGAGAACCCCTCTATAATAGTGTTTTGAGCAAGCCCTATATAATGGTGTGTGATCATAGAACCCCCTGTATAATAGTGTGTGCTCAAAAGCCCTGTATAATAGTGTGTGCTTAACAAGCACGATATATTACTGTGTGTGCTCAACAAGCCCTATTTAATAGTGCGTACTCAACAAACCCTATGTAAGAGTGTGTGCTCAACAAACCCTATATAATAATGTGTGTTGACCAAGCCTATATAATAATGTGTGCTCAGGGAACCCCTCTTTAATAGTGTGTGCTCAGAGAATCCCTCTATAATAGTGTGTGCTAAACAAGCCAAATATAATAGTGTGTGTCAGAGAATACCTCTATAATAGTCTGTGCTCAACAAGCCCCATATAATAGTGTGTGCTCAGAGAACCCCTGTATAATAGTGTGTGCTCAACAAGCCCTATATAAGAGTGTGTGCTTAACAAGCCCTATGTAATAGTTTGTGCTCCAGAAGCCCTATATAATAGTGTGTACTCAGAGAACCCCTCTATAATAGTGTGTGCACAACAAGCCCTATATAACAGAGTGTGCTCAACAAGCCCTATATAATAGTGTGTGCTCAACTAACCCTATAATAGTGTGCACTCAACAAGCATTATATAATAGTGTGTGCGCAACAAGTCCTATATAATAGAGTGTGCTCAACAAGCCCTATATAATAGTGTGTGCCCAACAAGCCCTATATAATAGTGTGTGCTCAACTAACCCTATATAATAGTGTGCGCTCAACAAGCCTTATATGATAGTGTGTGCGCAACAAGTCCGATATAATAGTGTGTGCGTAACAAGTCCGATATAATAGTGTGTGCTCAACAAGTCCTATATAATACTGTGTGCTGAACAAACCTATATAATTGTGTGTGCTCAACAAGCCCTATATAATAGTGTGTGCTCAACAAGCCCTATATAATAATAAAGCAAATCTTAAATGAATTGTCAAAAGTGCCTTCGGTTTGTTACAAACTGACAAAATGAACCGTATCTCATTGAATGCTTACAGTCTGAATTTTGTCACATTACCACAGGTTTGATATCTGACCGTTTTGCCCCGCAGGTACTGAAACCAGTCTTCAATTGTAGGCTTACCACTCTGCAATGATATTTCTTTGTCAAACAAGCTATATAGTTCACGCAGCTGTGGCCAGAACACTGTCAATGTTCGAATGTTGTCCTTTGGTGTGGTGACGATGACGTGAGCAGTTGCATAACAATCTGGGCGTCTGACAGGAGATCCACATGATTCACAGACGTCGTTGTCGTCATGCTCGAAATTATAACACCCTGGTTTGGGGCAAGATTTGTACATTTCAACCTCAGTGTCTTCAAGGGTGCCCTTCGCGAATCCCTGGGCGATATTAATATCACCGAACTCTGTTTTTTTCAGTTTCTGAAAAATATCGTATGGAGGCTTTCACGTAAAGAAATATAACACACACGCGCGCACGGGAGTGAGAGTGAGTGAGTGAGTGGGAGAGAGAGTGAGTGAGAGAGAGAGAGAGAGAGAGAGAGAGAGAGAGAGAGAGAGAGAGAGAGAGAGAGAGAGAGAGAGAGAGAGAGAGAGAGAGAGAGAGAGAGAGAGAGAGAGTACACAATCCTGCAATTTCAAGGAACACAGAGTATTAACATATAAAACAAAATATCATGTATCAGGTGACATATCACTCCTGCACGTTTGTAATATTTTTCATGTACAATATACTATATTTTTCTTTATACACTCAACTCGAGGAACTATTTCGAGAAATCGTTTATAGCCCGTTTGGCTCAAAATCGGACCGATGAATTGCAATCTAACTCGAAAACTACTAAACATATAATACTCGATGAAACACTGATCATAATTAAAACATCAGACCATCTCTGTGGTTTTTTGCATACTTTATGTACCAAAAATAAAGTTGTAAAGTTTTTTAACAAACTATCATTAAAAGTTTGACAAAGTTCCCTGTTTGTTACGAGGGAGGACTGCAAAGAGAGGAACAACCAGGTGTACGCGGAGCACGTGCACACGTGCCAACAAAGTTACTGAATAATTAACCTGATGAGTTGAGCTGTCTCCATCCTTTCTCGCACACCGTTTCGATTTTGAGCAAAACGGACTATAGTTGGTTAAACCACCTCACCCAACAGGCAGCGCTTTGCCAAAATAATTGAAAGGTTAACAGGCCTTGGTACCTTCACATTTGTCTTCCTGGTGGTTGTCACCGAGGATTCATCGACAGATTCATATTTCTTCCTTTTGCATCCAGTCATGTGGATGACGTCACCACTTTCAAGGTTGACGGCTTCATCTTCCCAGATATCAACATAGCCAGAACCTGACCGGTCTGCCAGTTTGATCTGACGGTGTGTCAGCAACTTTCCAAAGGAATATCTTTTAGTGAGAAACGATTGCTGAAACGGAGCAAATAATAAGCATACAAACTAGTGTAGGAATAGGAATAGGAATCTTATTTTGAATCATGTTTACCTTGTCAGCAGCCAAGTGGTTGAAATATTGGCTTCAAGACCAAGCTTGAGTCCAGGGTCATGTATTTCTCTCCACATCATGATATTGCTAATGCTCTGCCCACTCCATCATTTAGGTAAGGGCATTTCCAGAAGGTATTGCAACTAGACCAACTTGACCTGACAATCCAGTGATTATTGCGTACACCTCGCCGGAGGTTCCATGATACTCTAGAAACCAAGTCACCGAGCTTTCAAGATCACCTGATCCATTTGGTGCGGTCATTTAAACCCTGAACCCACACATGGCAAGTCATGAAACTGTACAGCTAAGGTGATTACAATGTTACAGTGTCAAACTTACCTTCACGATCTTTCCTTTTAGTGCAACCCATGACCTGGGCTGAAGGGCAAGAGCTTTTTTGATGGAGACAACCTCTTCTCTGCCAAAGGCTTCTTTAACTAAAGACGAATCAATTTCGATGGGGGTAGTGCTCGTCGCGTTTGATTTTTTATGCAGAAATAACACATTTCCGCTCCAGCTCACGTTTTCCAAGATAAGACCAGAATTAACCTTGAATTTGTCAAACACTTTTCCGTTTGTAACACAGATGTCGACTGCAGATGTTGTGTCGGCAACTTCAGCCATAAACTGCTCCTTGCCATTTCGCATTTCGGTTTCGTTCCTTTCTACTACTGTCACAAACACTACTAAATGCGGTATTTTTGGAGCTGTCTTAATATCTGCCAAGTTCATCCTCTGGAATATGAAAAAGGTTTGTACACACCATTTACAATATTTACGAAATTACATGTTATGAATTTGAAACATCAGCGCACGAAAATTTCGATTTTATCTCGAAACTGATTCATTTGGTCGAATCAGCATAAAACAGCAGAAAATAGTGAAAAAACATGGATGTCATGTTGTTTATGAGGAACACGTCTCGGAGTACACTGTACATTCTTAGTCCTTGATCAAAATAAAGAAGTTGTTATCCATATATTTCCATCTTTTATATGTATCACTAAATGCCATTCGGGGCGGTGGGGTAGCCTAATGGTTAAAGCGTCCTCTTGTCACGCTGAAGACCCAAGTTCCATTCTCCACATGGGTACAAGGTGGGAAGTCCATTTCTGGTGTCCCTCGCCTTGATATTGCTTGAATATTGCTGCAAGCGGTGTACAAACATATTCACTCTAAATGCCATTGGAAATATTAATACTGGTTCACCGTATATCCCCATGTCGGTGAGCATGTCCTGCTACTTAGGATTGGGTTTTTATTTGCATTACTTATCCCGAATTCGTTACTTTCTGTAGCATCTACAGCATCAATTTGACATAGCTCCAGTGCTCAATTAAAATCAGATCAAAGGTTGTTCTTTGCAAGAGGAAAAAGCCGACAAGAAAGACACTAAATATCAGACGCCCGATGTCTTAAATGCTCATGGCACTAAGTATATGTAGAATTTCGAGTGCGGATTGTATTGCAAGTTGTAGCAACGGATTGAACAGTAAAATCACTCACGGGGCAACCGCTGTCTTCCTCACTGTCTTCATCTTCGCTGCCAGAAGTTACTTCCTCATCATCGTCTACATTTCTGTCTTCAGCAGTGTCTTCATCCATATCTTCATTGTGCTCCCCCATCTCCACTTCAGTATTAGCAGTTTCCACTGAAAATCAGGTTGTACAATTAATTACACAGTATTCAGACATACAGACTGCATCTCAAACGATTCTGTTTTTAGTTGTAGTCTTGTACGTCTTGAAACATTCACAGATGTGATCTTCGTGTTTTAAACAAAGTTGATCTGTTGTCGTATCATTAATATTTTCAAACAGCTATTTAACCCCAGCTTGCACAGCTGATAGTATTTACATGTTTCCTTCTTTGTGTAGATATACAGTTACATAAAGTTGGAACCGTACAATGGACAACATAGGAATCCTTAGCAGAGATTTCTTAGGATTATGGAAATGCCTTTGTGGCTCAAAAATATATAGTCAGTCTGCTTACACTTCTCCAAACGGTCTTGAAGATGGTCTTTTACATGACCTTGGTCGCCTGCCAGTCCTTTCATGAGATGCTTGAAGTCACTGGTTGGCCTTTTAATCAAGAAGCCGACCAGGATTCTGACCTTTTTACTCTTTTGCGGCGTTTTTTCTATCAAATCCATTTGGTCGTGACTGAGAACTTTATTTGCAAACAGATGGCCTATGAGATCTGTGCCTTCAAGTTCTAGCGTTGATTGCAGGTATTTATATTCCTCCTGGAGTACGTCAAAGGCGTTTAAAGGTTTCATGTTACCTGACATAGAAAAAAGTGTTTCATAAGAAATCATGACAACAGTATTACTTAATCATATGTCAGGCTTAAAGTTCGAGGGAATGACGTATCTCTCTTGTAACAGATTTCGATCGTAAACATTTTGTAATGTATTGTAAAAGTGTTTATAATGAATGGGTGTACTTTGATCGTAACCATGCGCTGGGCTAGTGTTAATTGTCAAATGTTGTCTTTCTACTAAATACATGGTATAGAGCCAATTTATTTATCATCAGTTATGTACTTTTCAAAAAAAAAGGTGATTGAAAGAAAACTATACATCGGAAAAAATTGAATTTTAGGAAATTGTTTGACAGAAACCAATCCATGCTGAATCCCAACATGTTGGGGAATGGTTGCCGACGACAAAGCGTTTGAAAAAGAAACGTTGAACAAAAACTGCACTCAGTAAGTAAACTCCAAAACAGCGTGTGTTGGTTCTTTTTTTTTAAGAGTATAGTTGCAGCATGTGAGTGAGCGAGTATAATATTACATTCAGTTTAGTAACAGGCGGGGACAGCAGAGAAGGGCTTCAAATATCCAATGTGTATTCCTTTTTCACACTTACCCGAATATTCCGCAAGTGATTTTATGCGTATGCCAATAAATAAAACACATGAACTCTTTGTATTGTAAAATGCATCTTACTTCCTGTCAGAATATACTGTGCACACTGCTATGACTATGTTTGTGAACCAAAAACAACGAACTGGAAACATAATAAAGCTAAAAAACGAAAACAAAGCATCGTTGTCCACATGTTACATACAGTGAGTGAGTGAGTAAATATTTATCGTCACATTTTTATCAGCAATATTTCAGTCATATCGCTACGAGAACAATTAACAATTATATTATAAATATATAAAAATAGAACATAAAAGCCTGATGACAAAGATCAGGAAAACTACTAGTGTATCACAGATATCCATTTAAAACTAGTAATTAAACCTAAAACATTTTAATTAGAAATAACAAGACAATATAAACAGGCTATAGATTGCCAACAGCTAAAGGTTGATCACCATACTAGGGACCATGGGGTTTTACAGTACATTTGCTTCCTGCATGGACCCTAGCTGGATTTACACCATCCCTTCAGTTGTTAGCAATTTAGACAAATTTAGCCCTGCATTGAAAAGACACATATTCTACGATTAAAAAAAGTGGGTAGGTTTGATTAGACTTTGAATGTTTGTGGACGTACGCACCCTCTCAGGACGACAATACTTTGCTTCATACAGAGTACATATGAAATGTGTACATTCATACAGTTGCAGTGAGCTCAAAGTTGAATGCTGAGTTATGCTACAAATTGGTGAGACGTCTCAACAATTCCGTTGCATATTCGAGATATCTTTTTTCCAGACAATGACAGTATCGAGTGGGAAAAGTCTTCTCTTGAGCATGAAGAAACTTTCTGTTTTACTTTTCAGGCCAACCCACTTCAACCAGGTGACTGACTCTGCAAGGATGCTCTACTTGTAAGAAGACATTGGAATGCCTAGTTAGACCACGAATTTTGGTAAGGATCATCATATAAATGGACGTGTTGAAAAGTGCGTAATAACATCAAAGCAATAAATAGTTCCATGTGAGGGTGTCAATACCTCGAATTTCTATTGTCGGTTCAACAAAACAAACCACCAAGGGCAGATGAAGCAAAACTGTAAAAGGATTCGACTCTAAAGGATACTCTAGAGTCTACATCTGTATTGCCCCCGATGCTTTTCTCTCTACGGGCCTTCTGGAGTTTGTCTCTAACCAACATCACTGAGTACGACCACGTGATGGTCAATTACGCTCCCAAGTGACTGATTTTCCCTCTTCAATTTTCAGATTAAGAATGTTGTATTTGCCGTTGGACTCAACGCGTGAGTGAGTTTAGTTTTACGCCGCACCCAGCAAAGCTATATAGCGGCGGTCTGTAATACACGAGTTTGAACCAGACAATCTAGTGATCAACAACATGGGCATCGATCTACTAAAGTGGAATACGAAGGTACACTGGACTCTGGCAATATCGACCTCTGTAAACACCAGCACTCTGTATGTGTAAACCAAGTCAGCGATCCCGGTTTACTGAAGACCAATTCTAACACGGGTTTGGACTCAACGAGGAGAATATGGTTCTTTTGTGTGGATTCTCCCTTGGAAAGGAGTTGAGTTATATCTGTGTTGAAAAGCTTAAAGACGTTAGTGGCAAGGGACAGGACTACAGAAATCACCCTGGAGAAATCACATTCTTACAGAAATAGGTTCAACAGGTGGCCAGCATATCATTAAAATGTGAGCAAATACAACAATAGCGTTCCAGACATACCAAATTAGTGAGGTACAGAAACTCATCTTTAATGCCCAGCCGGAAGTTAGTTAATCTGATCGTATGTACTAATAACTTTGTTGAAATGGAGCTGGAACCCAGTCACTGGCGTCCTGTACATCAGTAATCCCTGTAGTCCACACCGCGTCATCATGTATCATCACGTGCTTATGTGGTGTGGGCATTGTACTAAACAGCCACACGCGTGTATTCTATGTCAATGTCCAAATGGCACCTTCTGTAAGCCCTTCTTACCCACCGAACTTACATATTTAGACTTTCTTTCAAATCTGATGCCTTTAGAAGGCAGCCATTTCCCCCACCCTCAGAAAATCCTTCTTAGCATTGCATGGATGTTACTATGTCATCAGGCGAAGCATGTTGATTAACAGTAGACTTAATTCTTGTTTTGATATACATACATACTTGGAGTTTGTTAGAAAGTAATACCAGACGTTCGACACACTAGGGGCGTTTAAATATGTTTCAGGTCTTTGTAACTTTCAATTATATCAGTCCATGCAATAACAAAGGCACTGAACGCCCCATGGTCGTTCGTATGATGATCTACCTTCAGTTGTTTGCGATTTATAGCCTGTTTTCATATGGTTTTATCTTTATAAATATAATAGTTTTAGATTGACATGCTATTGATACTCTAGTTATTTTACAGCCCTTAGATGACTGGTTATTTAACTTGTATTTATTATGTATGTAAAACCTTTCTCGTCACGATATGGCTGAAATATTGCCGAGGTGACGTTAAATTATAACTCACTCACTCAATTCTATGGGTGGGTGAGCAACTGCAAGAGTCGTACATAATACCCGACACCGTAATCGATCAAGCTGTGTACATAACAACGCAAGAAGTTTGATTTACAGATTTACCAGATAGTACACGCCTGCTGTTAAAAAACACAGGTCATACTGTTAAACATTATTCTGCGTGAGAGAGAGATGTTATCGGATTTGTCATGGCGTGCCTTTGCACGTATGTAAGACCCTCAGCAACCATCCTAAAACAACAGAGCAGATTTATGTCGATCCAGTTTTATTATAGCGGGCTCCAGACACATGTGTCATACAAACTACAACCACTATTGCGCAACGGATATAATATCCTGAGTACATCAGATTCTCACACCATTTCTATTATAAAATGTTTCTGACATTTCCCAAAGGATTCAACTGGAAAATTAACTGTCAACTTTTAAATGAATTAATCACAACGAGGAAATTGTAAAATTACTCATATTCTTTTCACCAAGATAATACTCCAACGGATGACAATATCAAATCCAGGCATTTGGTGATAATACATTTTATTATATAGGTAGCATTTTTCCTGTACCACGATTGGTCAAAAGACCGTCACATGATTGACTACAAAACACGATATTGACTTGAGTTTTCTAATAAATTACGATATTGACTTGGGTTACTAAAAATAGACAAGGAATCCCGTACGAAGGGGCTTCCACCGCTTTTCAGCCAATCAGATCACTCGGATAGATGGCACAGTGTGTGCATTAAAAGTTTATGTTAAAACCCGTTTCTCTTTCATTATATAATAAAACAATTATAGACTCTTGTAGAGGTCGATATCGGTTTTTATTGACCTGAGAAAAACAATATCGACCTCGCAAGCTCGGTCGATATTGTTTTACTCAGGTCAATAAACACCGATATCGACCTCTACAAGTTCGGTCGATATTGTTTTACTCAGGTCAATAAAAACCGATATCGACCTCTACAAGAGTCTATAATTGTATAATGTCACCCAATGATATTTTGAAATATTGGAAATACTTATTCATTTGTTACAAAAATCACTAATGTTTGATTACGCCATGCATGAAAAGCAGTTATTTCTGATTGACATATTCATAGAAATACCATGTTTATACATGACCCATAGTCACATAAAATATGTAAACAATACTATTGCTTTATTCAAAATAACTAAAATGACTTAACAATAATTCCTATAGAATACCAGTTACATGTGTTTTACCAATTTGCAAGTGAAAATACATTGAGATAATACACAGTCACAACATTACCCGTAACTCACTTCTCGATGAGTAAAATCAAATTCCACCATATAAACAGATTAGAGTTACTTCCCCTATGGTGGGGGTATACCAGTCACGTGACCCACGAAACTAGGAGACACTCAAACTTCAATCAAAGTTGGCGGCTTTTTACTATTATTGGTTTTCCTTCAATAACATATGTCTATAATAATTGTTTTGACTATTTAAATAAGTAAAACACCTATTGTAAGTACGAGATCAGTAATAATTAAATCTAAATCGAGAGTAAGCGTTACTCGACAACTTGACCTTCACAAAATCACGAGCGTTTCACCTCGACATGGATAAATTACCAAAAACATCATATAAACAGCATTACAAGTCCCTAAATGAATATTTTCCGGTACCCGGTAATGTTAGAAATACGTAGTTGTGTACAGAAGACCTTATTTCGACCTACAGAAATGCATACATACCTAAAACAACAGAGCAGATTGATGTCGATCCAATTTTATTTTGGCGGGCTCCAGACACGAGCATGCCGATGCAATCTCATTGGTTCGTTGACAACGGACGTGCCTCAGCTCTTCGGCCAGAGTTATCACCCTTTTACCATTGACATATTACCGAAGGTAGCTAATATTCTACATTCTTACACGTACAGCAGGATATGCCGAGATTTTTTCTTGAATATTTATATACCGTAATTAAGTTACTGTGACATGGTGCATGGTTGAAACTGCAACAGAACTCTTATGTGCAGATGTGTATAAATTGATGAATATGAGGACAGGTACGAACTCACGCTGGTTTTATCATTACCTGAATGATGTGCACATGACACAAGCAGCTTGAAGATATTAATTCCATTTATTGCACAACTAATACGATCAGTTCACAGTGTAACCCAGGAGTCTTACTAGCCAGTAAATTAATTATACCTGTAGATCAAGCAAATGATCTGTTGTAACATCCCGAATGTACCCTGTATATTTGCATTTATCATGTACTTTGACGTGCTAATGGTTTTTTGTTATAGCTGCAAACGACAGACGTGTGCTTTACAGGTACAATTATCGGATCTGTCTTGGCGTGTCTTTGAACGTATAGCATAATATGACATTATGTGGTCCTGAAGTTTATTATTTAGTGATAAAGTTTCTGTAACATAAAGCATGGATGAAACTGCAATAAAAATCTTATGTACACAGAAGCCGAACATCTCTACCCGTCGTACATGACACATGACCCCTTCGTCGGCCTAGCTGTGTGAATAATAATGCCCGAAGCTCAGATAGAACAACATCACTCGAGAGAGATGCAGGGTTGAAAATGCAAGAACATATTATGTACAGATGACTACGAACTCACGATGGTGAGGACACAAACTCGTGCCAGTTTTGACATTATATTAATGATGTGGATATGTCGTGAAACAAACAGCTTGAAGATTCCTTCTATTTATTGCACAGCAAGAATATACTACCAACACAATCGGTTCACAGATATATAAAGGTTCACCTTACCTAGTGCCTGCGCCATTGTTATGACTTGGGTCTATATATAAACAAACTGGCTTGATCTGGTCAAGTTGGATTTTTCCCAGTCGAGCGGACAACTCAGTGTCAGTGTGGACCTATTCACAATATAAAATGAGTGAAATCTTTTCTAAAGTATCAGGGTTGATTAAATTATACTGGTGGAGGGTGAGTTGTTATATCATGACTGTGAAATAAACGTGCGTTACAATAGACACTTTAGTTCCCTTAACCGAAATTATGAGGTTGTAATTATGAGCAACTCACACTCTACACTGGTACTTCCACTGACAACCATAGGTGTTTCCAGCTTTAAGATTGCGTGATTATTTTAATGATTGTGTAACACGCACAGCAGTAAGTTGATACTGTGTGTGTCTATAATTGATGATTGTGTTTGAAACTTGTCTGGAAAACACACATAGGGTCTCGGTGCAGGATAGCGACACTGCATGAAATACTTCCTAATATAATACACAATTCGTGATTTATCGCAATAAAGACAGTGATGACAATATTCACCAGTTACAACAATGGTAAAGCTACCAAGAGAGTCCAAAGCTGGGAATCCGGGATGAAACCGTTCTGAAATGAGAGAGGCAGCTGCTGGTCCTCTACTAACTTGATATAGATGTCTTCTGGAACATTCTGAGCTCTGTTGGATTGTGTATACACAATGCTATTTAGAAAGTGGTCAAATGTAACATATGTTATATTTGGGATTACACTCTCTTCGTACAGTGGGGCAGTGCGGTAGCCTAGTGGTTAAAGCGTTCACACCGGAGAACCAGGTTCGATTCCCCACATGGGTACAATGTGTGAAGCCCATTTCTGGTGTCCCCCGCCGTGATGTTGCTGGAATATTGCTGAAAGCGGCGTCAAACCCAACTCACTCACTCTTCGTAAAGTACAGATTCTAGTACCCACACCCTCAGAATCAGTCACACAATCGCCAACACACAAAGTCAGCCGCCTAACCCGCTCAGCCACCGCAGCGTTTGCTGGATTGGATTATTCCGGCTGCTGTAGAAACTTCCGGATTAGCCTTTATTCAAATTCACCACAGCCCTCGAATGAATCCCCACAGAAACACTGCAATACAACTACAACACTGTTTTACAATGAATACCACTGTCATATGCAGTGAGGTTTTATAATGTGTCAGGGCAGGATGAAATGGAAAGAAAATACCTCTCATGCATGTATGTTCAGATATTCTAAAGATCCACAAGGCAATATTCTGTACTGGTTGAAAGTTTCAGGACACATGCACCGGGACGAAGTACCCATCGATAACTTCGTGTGTCACGTAGTGTACAAAACAAAATGTGCTCAGGTCCTTGATTAAAATGGTTAAAAGAAATTCCCAAAGGGATTCTTTTCTCAACAAAATATCGAACTGCATGCTAAGTAGTAAACCAAATACATATCACCTGCGACACAATGAATACACTGGGAACTCAGAATAATGACCCTTTAGGCTATCGTTTCTGGACAATTCTGTACATTTCAGATTCAGGAAGCACGCAAAGCACTCATTCCTATCAAACGGTTGCATTCTATATTGAAGAATCATTAACATTGAGTGAGTGAGTTTGTTTTTTTACGCCGCTTTTAGCAATAATCCGGCAATATCACGGCGGGGGACACTAGAATTGGGTTTCACACTCTTTTATATTGAAGAATTTTCAAAAGGAAGTAGCAGATTGTTATATATCCAAACATTTTCGAAATCGATTATAGAGTATTATATCGAGACATGGTTTCAAAGATTAGTCATCCCTCGAATCTAGATTTTTATGCATTTGTAAAGCCTACTTTCTTCAAGGAACAATAGTTTTTGAAAGTACACCAAACGGATGTGACGGGATGAAATGTTTGTATATATTCCTTAGTTTTTGACTAAAAAAAATATTCAGTTTAGAGTATTTTAAACATTATGAAATCGCTGTTCACTGACCAATCTATACAAACTACAATATTGATTATTACACATCTTAGGGACTACGTACATGATTTATCTTCTAACACAATGTCATGTCTAAAAACTGTCATGTACTGAAAGTGTCAATTCATGAGGTAAATATTATTTTAAAAAGTTCAAAGTATAAACATAGCTTATGACAACCAGCTACGTATCACTTGATATTGAACAAGGCAAAACGTACATGATATTAGATTCATGAACAATATCTAAAAGACAAAATATACGTCATAATATTGAAACTGAAAGCAGCTGAATAGGATGAACTTTGGTAATTCTATTTACCAAATCATATTTTTTAGCTTGACATATATTTCCTCTCAGCCTTTGTGAATGGCGTTTTGTTTTTGCTTTTCTTTAGATGTGATTTGAAGGGCAGCTTGTTTGTCCACATGTACTGTCCCGCTTCCGCTTCAGTGACGAAATTTGATCAAATTTGAGAAATTAACAGAAATCATAAGACAAAGTTTACCACTGCGAATAATAGTATTTTAAATTTCTTCAAACTATGTGATAGATCGACCAGCGTCGTGTTGGTATTTCCCACCAGGAAATCAAATGGCGTGTGCGTGGCTCAGTGCACGAACATAGCAAGTCAATTGAACGAATGTAAAAAAGGGCATCATTACAAGGTGACACTCTGAACTTGGGAGGCGATCGATGCTAGCTTTCGCTTCAGTCTTTACTATTAACCGCATGAATAGAACGTCAGTGTCATGGATCCTAAAATGTATGAGGGAATCCGGTGAGACGTGTGTTGCAGCTGAGTGTAAAATATACGTAATGCAATAGGCATCTCATGAACGGCCATCGCGGAACACCATCCAATATCGCACGACACTTCCGCGTTCGTGTTCGGGCTTTCCCCAAACATCCCAACTGACTAGTTTTATTGCTGACGTTCAGAAGTATCGTTTGTGATTTGAGGAATGAAAAACAGACTAATCACTAATATGTTGTTTTTGCAATTCGATCCCAGTTTAACTTTTCAAAACATACAAGAAATAACATACACGAAATATGTCAAAAATGGCGACATTTACAGTGTACCCAAAATGTCCAAAGGCTATTTCCAACACTTTTGCTTAACGGGAAGTATTCTGTAGAATTAAAAATTGCAAAGTGCGTTTATGTGCATTATATTATGAAGAAATGGAGGGACATATGCCCCCATGGCATCCTGGTTTAAACACTAGTATGTACAAGCTACCTCAGAGGATGATAGAATCTAGATGTTTGAAGAGCTCCAAGCCAGTGGAGTACAACTAAGCTGAGATGTGTTATGTAATTGTCGGTTTCGTCGGTTTTAAGATGAAAACAGATAGTGAAAAGCTGCTTACCAAAGTTTGTCTTCAACACAGACAGTTTCAGTTCAGGTCAGTAGCGTCCCGGAATGACTGTGGTAATATCACGTGATTCAAGCCTCTTCTTTCCTTGTGCGTTACACCCGGATTTGTGCAGCTAGTGTATTGAAAACCTGACTTGCTACCGACGGGTAGGTCATTGTATAGCATAACAATAAACACTCGCTACACCATAACTATGGGTTTGTCCGTGTAAGTGTGCTGAAGACTTTCTCCATCAATCTTATAAGAAAACCTCATAGCGGGTTCATTGGAAATAGGGCGGCCACTCCAATTTTATTCTTCTCTAAACAACTAACGAAAGAATCATCTGGCCGAGGCTTGTTGATTGGACCTGCAGTATATGACATAAGGCCTGTCCGACTGCCCCAGACAGGCTAGGTTTCTGACGGATGATCTAAATTTACAGCTAGCCAGCCCGATGGTAAGGTACAAATTTTAAAAGCTCCATACATCTGAATAAATTCATCATATCTTGGTGTCTGGTCTGCTCAAATCTATTTTGGGCAGGTGGCATTTTGAAGTTGCCACCCATGATGTCTGGTTGGGGTTTTGGCTTATTTCATATACTGGCACCTCGAGTTCCATCCAAATTCTATCCCTGAATATGTAGTGGGCGTCAAGGAGAAATGACAAGTACATACGGCCTCAGGATTACGGCCTCATCAACAAATGTAATCTTGTTGCTTTTGACAAAACGTATGAACTTATTTGTGTTATCTTTATTAACTTTCTGTCGATTCTGACAGCAATGTGATTATCAAGATTCAGGAAAATCATGACAAATATATAAAGCTTGACAATCTCAAGTATACTCTCGTCAGACCCCAATTGTTCTTTGTGCCCTCGGTTGGGTACTTCTTGATCTCCTGGCGCAGATCTGGCGTGTACATGTGTACTCGACAGGACCACAGCCTTGTGGCTGTGCCCTGGCGACCCAATCTCGTTATGTTACACTTTTCATTTTAATTAGTTAAATCTGGGAAACAAAATATGTATCAAGAAAGTACATTTCACCCAAACTGTAGAATTGTGAACGCTGTCAGACATTCAGTAGATATTGCGTCAAAAACATTAAAGCATTACTAAGGTCAACACCTCGACGGGTTTGAACATTCCAACGCCCAATTACATTGTGTACGGAGAACAAGTTAGAGAACATTTACAAATGCTAATAAATGACAACGCTGTGCCATTTTGGTAAATTTCACCTTTCCCAGCTCCACACATTAATTTTAAAATCACATTTTATAATGATGTTGTTTATATTGTGAAAAGGGTGTTCCATTTATTGTTTAAATTCAGAATGTAACTTCTCAATATAGTATGACCAGAAATTATTGAGAATTTTAGGAATATGTTAAAATGGATGTCTAGTATAAACAACCTTGACCAGCTATCAAGTGCTTGGTTTCATTCAAGAGAGACAACTCCGTTAATCCTTTTTCAGTAGTTTGTGAAGAGTTATTCCCCTTTGTTTACTTGCTATCAGACGACATTCTCTTTAATCCTCAGCATGGATGATTTAGAGAAGAGAAAGTTGATTTTAGAGTATCATAACAAGGACATCAGATCAGCTAAAGTGATTTCAAGTAGAACAGGCATCCCTTTTTCCACTGTTTATCGTGTTTTGAAAAATATTGCAAATGGATATGGCACTGAGCACCCGGGAGGTGCAGGTAGGCCCAGAAACTTGACTGTCGGTGACAGGAGGCGGCTTGGTATTCTTGTTTCTAAAAACAAAAGAAGGAGTTTAGAAAACTTAAGGCTGGATATGATTGATATAGGAACTGTGGCTGTCTGTAAGGAGACAATTAGAACTGAGCTGCATGCACTGGGTTGGCAGAAAAGTCGAGGAATTCCATCACCGATCATGAAATCTGAACAAAAGGAGCGAAGGTTGAACTGGTGCTTGCAGCATAGAAATTTTAACTGGGACAATGAGATTTTCTCAGATGAAAGTTCTGTGTGGCTGTTTCCTAATTCACTGAGATTCGGGACCAAGCAAACTGAAAAACCTTTGTATCAGCCCCCAAAGTACAGTCCGAAATTTAACGTGTGTGGTGGCATATCTGTGTTAGGGGCAACGCCCCTCTGTGTATTTGAAGGGAATATGAACAGTGAGCGGTACACAAATATTTTCGAGGGACATTTACTTCCATCTGCTCACGTGTTCTATGGATATTTTTGGATTATCCAGCAGGACAACGACCCAAAAGATCGTTCAAAGCATTCACAGGCCCGGTTTCGGACCCAAAATATGACATTATTAGATTGGCCAAGCTATAGCCCTGACTAAAATCCAATAGAAAATGTTTGGGGACTTAAAGTGTAAAAAAGAAAAATCTGACAAATATTGCTGAAATGAAAGTAGAGGTGGTCCCATATTGGGACTGCGTGGACCACGACTTTCTACCTTCTTTGATCAGTAGTATGACCCGCCGCATTGAAGCCTGCATTGCTGCCCAATGGTGACTTGACAAAATACTAACTGTTCATCTGTCTTTGAATCTGGAGTTATGTTCTGCTAATATTCACATAAATACGTGAGTAATGAATGAAATTTTTAACAATTTTTAAGTTACAATCTTAAATTCTCAATAATTTCTGGTTGTACTGTAAGTGTAGTTTTTCCGCATTATCTGAAGAGTTAGTGTATTTAAGGGCGAAACTGTGTCAAGTGAACGTTATTAGTAGCGGTTATTAAATCGAATGGCCAAAAATAAATTAGTTTATAAATTATAACAACAAAATAACAAACTACATGGTCTGAGAAACATTTTGAAAATGATATATAAGATCAAGTGATCAAAACTGTATATATGCATGCTATTCATAAATCGTAAGAAATAAAGTGTATTTTTAGTAGTCATCAATTCTCACAGAGAATGCCCAATTTGAAAACGACACAAATCGTAAAAAAATACAATATTTCTGCCACTTGTTGCTGTTTTATCGAAGAAAGTGTCACGAACGAAAATATGAAATTGTAGCACTCAATAACATCTCATGCAAAACCACCCTACACGATCGCTGTAATCTATATGACTGTTCTTTATGATGGCTGCATAACACATTGAAGGGAGATATCATTGACAAAGTTCAGTCGTTAATACCTAAGAAAACAACATTACATGTAACATCCTCTCCACTCAGTTGAGTTTGTTAGCATAATAAGAATAAACCTGATTAAGTCAAAGCTCTTGAAAATATAACTTTATGTTATACTGTTAAATGCAGTTCTTTACGCAAAAGAAGTCAACAAAAAGAATTGACACCTGAGAGGTAGTAACATGAACTTCACTGACAATACAACAGCATTTATCAAAGGTAATATTATTGATCAGATTGTTAATGAAAGCCTCTGTAACGTAGATTATAGATTTGCACAAGAACAACAGCACTTGTTCACATGAATATCATCCATTCCCTTTTTCTCCAGTGACGTCACTCTATTGTTCTTGCAAGGCAGTATTTCTAGTCATATCCTGGATGACCCGTCGATTAGGCGGCATTACTTAAATATTGTCCCTCTACCCCCGGGATATTACTTCAATATTGTCCCTTAATCTGCAATTAAAGCATTCTTACTCAAACAATATTTTGCACGATGGCCGGTATAACGGTGTGACCAGTTTATAGAAAATTCAGTTTTGACAAATGAACACCATAATTCATACACAAAAGAAAGGAACTAAAGCTTTTAGAAACTTTATTTTGCAGACAAATTCAGTTACAATTTATGTAATAGTGAAATTGAACACGATTGGTCGGTCTTTTGACGTACTGACACTGACATCCTTTGGACAGTTTGTTGAAGTGCTGGCATTGACATCCTCGGAAGAGTCAGTGTCGGACTTGCATTTCTTTGCAGAAGAGATGATACGCGATGCATATTCCTGCTGCTCATCACAAGTTCGCTTGTAGCTCCGAACTGCTCAGCTCAAATAACCTAAAACATAACAAGTACAAATCAAAACGACATTCTCTCTGAAAATTGGTGAGTATTCATTAACCCATGAAAATCTGGCTTCGAACTGGTCCTCAGCAACCCAGGCTTATTATACGAGGCAACTATGAGGATGGAGTGGCCAGGTTCACTGACCTGTTGATGCATGTCATTGTATCCTATTTGCGTTGATCCATGCTCATGTTTCCAGCCATTGTTTTCTTGTCGAGATTATTTACAGATGGTGAGATGTGGCTGAAATTGGTGAATGCGGCGCTAAGCAAAACCCAAACACACAAACAAACAGTAGGATTGCTTAACGTTGTAGTAGACACTAATGTTTTAGCATGTATGCGCATTGAAAACCAAATTTACTAGGCGTCATTAATAAAGTGTTAAATGATATACAGCACCTGTGAAGAAAGGTTTCTCAGAAATAATAGAACTAAGAGTGTCATCATAAGTGTTTAATGTGTTGACAAAGGTGACAGTAAGACAGCCAGAAAGTTCCAACAGCACAAGCAAACATACGTTGTATAGACTAACCCCCCCGAAATGAAAATGAGAAACACACAGATGCACCTAGTTCACATGCTCCCTATTTACGAGTATTGTAGAAATTGTTGGCACAAGGATTTCGGGAAATGGAAATCAGTCCTGTGTCGACATGATTTTACTTTCCAATCTCAATGTCAGTTCACCGTCAACTCCAGCACATTCACCACCATGTATCATCCCAACCCGGACTTCCTAGAGATTCTATCTGTGAAGGTCCGGGTTAGAATGTGCCTTCAGCAACCCATGCTTGTCGTAAGAGGCGACTAACGGGATCGGGTGATCAGGCTCGCTGACATGGTTGACATTTGTCATCGGTTTCCAATTGCGCAGATCGATGCTCATGCTGTTGATCATTGGATTGCCTGGTCCAGACTCGATTATTTACAAACCACCGCCATATAGCTGGAATATTGGTGGGTGCGGCGTAAAACTAAACTCACTCACTCACTCCAATAGACTCTGTTTGGTAAAGATCATTCGGTATCCACTCGGACATGAATGGCTTTAGCTCCGCGGTGAGTGTTCAGACAGCCATCCACTGAGCGACTTCGTAGATACTGGCCGGCACAATTTCGATAGTTCCAACTTTTAACACACCAAAGATAAACCGTATGTTAATGATAACTCCAAATTTCGGAGCTTTCTACTACTGAAGGAATAGTTTTCAAATATCAAATTATCATGACTTTATTAAGTAAATAAAAACATCATGAAGGTCTGGGTAGAATTGGTCTTCAGTAACCCATGTCGTAAGAGGCGAATTTGTTTGACACGTATCATCATATCCCAACTGTACAGATACTCATGCTGTTGATCACTGGATTGTCGGGCCCAGGCTGGAATATTTACACACCCGGCATATATATAGCAGGGGTATTGCTTAGTGTGGCGTTAAACAAACCAACCATAAAATGGTCATTTTCATTTTCCTGAAATAGAGACTCGGGTTTGACATTTGAGAATAGATTTACATTTGTTTATAAATTAGCACAGTTGAAACACAGTCTCATATCTCATAGGGTTGAATTATTTAAAGTGGGTTCAAATGTAAGTGTCACGACAGGGACGTGTGTGCTTTATTAATAAGTTGAACTTTGTTTATGAATTTTTAGCCTATTCACGACATGCTGTGCACTTATATTAGTTAGTCAACGTGTGATGTGGACTTTCTCCATTAATTGATATGGTCTGATATTCTAAAGCTTATAGGCCAGGGGCATTAGACATGACATTGGAAAAAAAATAGTAGAAAACTGATTTTTTCAGGAACGCTTCAGAACATCATTGCCATGTACAAGATTCAAAGTTCTGCAAATTCTACCTTGTGGCATTTTCATAATGGCCGCCAATTTCAAGATGGCCGCCAAAATCATTAAAATGATTATGCAAACAGATATTTTGTAAATAATTATGCCATGTGATATATCAAATGAAAGCTCATCTCACAGGGATTCCAAATATATTGATATCATGCCTTGTGGCATTACAAAATGGCGGCCAATTTCAAAATCCTTGTCCTTAAAAGAATAAAAATAATCTCACGAAAATATGTGTTTTTTAATTAACCATATCTTGTGATATATTAAAAGAAAGCCCTTCTCACCAGGAGTGTAAATATATTACTTTTAACACCGCAAATACATAAGACAATTAATTTTGGCATGATAACCACACATTTGATGCTTGTGCGTTTGGTACCAGACGTCAAAATAGCTACTCATGGTAGGTTAATCAAGACAGCTGTAGTCACCAAATTGATTGTAAATCACTTGTACGATAATCAATATCATCATCTTTAGTTAGTAAGTCTTGAAACTCACCGTAATCTTCACTCTTTGATTCATGTATCATAAGGGCTTTTTGTTAATCACAACATCTCTCAGGAGGGGAAAGGATTACAGTTTGAGGAGCTGAGGAGGACACAGAGGCTCGATTAATGGACTTGAAGTACATGTTGTAGTGATGTTCGTCCAGTGATGTCGAGTTCACAACTCCATAGAATTTAAGCATGAACATCTCTCCAACTTGTGCAATGTCATCATTTGAACTGCCAAACTGAAGGAAAACATCCAAGCAATCCCAATTGGACCTCTCCTGGAATAGAGCAAGAGCTTTCTCTTTCCCCTGATTGTAGAAGGCTGATGCTGCATCACAACCTGTTATTGCATGAACAAACATCAGATGCTGTCTGATATTGGTAATGGTTTTCTGTAAAGATCCATGCCATTTGTGGGTTGTGTAATCAACATTACCAACAGGCCCGTGTAGTTCCCCACGACAACAACAGGTGATTGGGTTGTCTCTGGCCTTGATAATTGCAGTTGAAGCAATCAAGCAGTCAGCATCAGCAGGGCCCTGTTGCACAGCTAAACCTTCTCTGACAAGTCTTCAAGCGACATTTGTTCTTCTTGTTGCTCAGAAAAGGTTTTGATGAAGTTGTTGCTTTCATGTCTGGCTCAAAAATGATTTCATATGATATGTCCGGCTGAGCCCGACTGTTCAGCAGATTCTGTGGAACACACACTGCCATACCCATCAAACACAACTGAAGATGCTGAACCGTAATGTTGAAGCACAAAGGACACATAGCTGTCACATATCTTGCTGCATGTAGCATCCGTGGGCCAAGGCAAACTTTGTAGCAGGTTGCCACCGTCAATGACATAATGCGCTCATTTGGATGGTCATTGTGGACTTGGACTTGTGATTTCAGTTGATTAGCCAAAACACTCTTCGTAGGTAGTCTTTCGCATCATGCCTTTGTCAAACAAGGCAGGTGGTTGCTTGGCAAATTCACAAAGTAGGTACAACCTCATCTCTGACTTATCCTCTATCACGCAGGTGACTCACATGAATAGCAGCTCAGAGTTTTCTTGGACTGGCTCTCCTCTGATTTTGATTTGATTCTTTTCCTCACTGATGCTTATCACTCTATCTTTGCGCTTCAACTTCACGTCAGCAAACATCAGACCTGTCACTTCTGAAGCTGCTGTCATTCCTATAGAAACTGCTTTGTCTGCGTTTACCGATTTGGCAGCTACAACACTACTTGCTATGCAGATGAGCGACTCATGCTCTTCATAGGAGAAAGGAGAATGATCTTTCAGCCAATGGACGAATGTCCCATAGTCATTGTTGTCTCACGATGTTACATAAATGAAGCTGAACATGTTGCTCAGATGTTTGGCTGTGCACTCCTGTGAACCTTCTAAAGCATCACATATTGGTATGCACTGAGGCATTGCATGGACCCATTTGGCGAGAGTGCTTTCAGTTATACCACGACCACGAGCTATG